TCTGCAGCTGCTAGACTCGTGAGGGTGCCCCTGGAGGTTCAAGGTGGGGCCTTTTGCCAGTGAGTAGGATGGAGGACGAAGGACCAGGGAGCCCCGCCAGGAAAGGAGGGCGTTGGGGGGTAGGAAGCACTGAGACCGGGTGCAGGGAAGGCCCGGGGGGGGGAAGAATAGTGTCATCAACAGGTAACGGGCTCCAGCCTCCTAGCCTAACGACGCTCCCCTCGGCACCCCACTCAGCCTCAGAGCTGCCTGCCCCACTACATTTCCCAGTGAATTCTCTCTTTTCGTTCCCCTGGAAGAGCTTTTTAACCCGCTCCTCCTTTCAACCTGCAACGCCCCTTCTCACTGTCTGTGGATTATCTTGTTTCTTAATTCAGTGAGAAAGGACAGCAATCAGAAGACGGCCCTCATCCTCCACCCAGTTAACCTGCCACCCCTCCTGTGCCTTCAGCCCCGTGGTCTGTCGTCCCTTCTGCTACAACCAAGGAACTCTCCCAGGTCCTGGGCCCTCTGGCCCGGAGGAGGCAACACGCCCTCCCTGCACCACCAATTGTTCTTTCTGTTGAGTAATTGTGCACATAAAGTCCGATGGCAACCCCTTCTTGAAAGAAACACACTGACTCCTTGAGTGCCACACCTCCTTTAGCTGTAGTGTTTCATGTCGTCTCTGTTCCCCTTCGTAGAACAGCTTGCTGCACAAGGTGTGTGGCCTGCTGTAGGCAGCTCCTCACGAGTCATCCTGTTTAATCCAGTCCACTCAGGTGTTTCTAACTCTTCTATGGAAACTGCTTTTATCAAGGTAACAGGTGCCTCTGTCTTGCTGACGATTGGATGTTGTCCTTCACCTCTCTGGATTGCTCAGCAGAATTTGCCAGATGACTATAAGCCCTCTCTTGACACACGCTCGTCCCAAGGCCCTGGAAACTCTACTCTCCCGAACCTTCTCGCCCTGAATTCTCTGACTGCTTCTTCTCAGGCTCCTTTTCATCTACTTGATTCTGAGTTCCCTCCCCTCCCCCAGGGCTCTTTTCTCTCTGCGTATGCTTATTCCCTCAGAGATGACTTCTGATTCAGGCAGTGGTCTGGCAGGATGGCCCCCTCTAGAGGACTGGCTACTGTGACTTGTGCAGGGTCTAGCAAAACCTCGAGAATAACCGGTGTCGGCATTGTTCCCAGGCCTGCAGCAACGAGGGGCAGTGGCCACCGGAAGGGGATGGCAGGAGCTGGGACCCGCAGGTGAGGCTTATGGCCGACCCCGGGTCAGCCAGCAGGAGGGAGCTGGAGGAATACAAGCCTTGACCTCGCCCCCACCAGCCAAGTACCACCGGGAGTGGGAGGTTGAGGGAGAGAGCTGGTGTGGTCTACACAGCCAGCACATGGCACAGAGCCGACTGGGGCAGGACAGAGACAACAGGAGGGACAGACATGAAGTATTAACATGGCTTCCAGATTTGTGTCTCCAGCTGTGACCTGCCGTGTGAACATTCCTTGCAATATCCACTCACCATCTCCACTTTTGTGTGAGATACAAAATTCTTTCTTAATCTCCACTCCCCATCTCCCTGTTTTGGTAATGAGTACCAGTCAACATCACTTAGGGCAGCACTAAGAGCCCCCGTCCTTTTCCTCCAACACATCAGCCACTGAGTCAGCTGCACGACACAGCGGCTGTGCACGAGGCCTCTCACCCAGGCCACACCATCTCTCCTCTGGACTGCGGTCAAAAACCCCTAATGGCCTCCCAGTTTCGTTCAGTGACGGGACTATTGGCAACCTCCCTAGGTAATCTTCCCTTCTGCCTCACAGCTAAGTGAAGCTTGTTTATGTCTCAGGCCACTATGTGCCCACCTTAGTGGGAAATGTCAGTCCTGGTCCTCTTTGCCACACGTTCACTTCCCCACCCTCTTCATACATGGTTCACATCTGCCCAATAGAGTTTATTTTTTTTTAAATGTTTATTTATTCTGAGAGACAGAGTGCATGAGAAGGGGAGGGGCAGAGAGAGAAGAGAGAGAATTCCAAGCAGTCTCCATGCTCAGTGCAGAGCCTGATGTGGGGCTCGAGCCCACGAACCATGAGATCATGACCTGAGCCGAAACCAAGAGTTGGATGCTTAACCGACTGAGCCACCCAGGCACCCCTCTGATAAAAAAAAAAAAAAAAAAAAAAATTAATGTGTTTATTTTGAGATGAAAACATAGACAGGGAGAGAGGGCAGAGAGGGAGACACAGTCAGACTCCAGGTGAGCTGTCAGCTGGGAGGCTGTGCAGGGAGACTCGAACTCTGGACTGTGAGATCATGACCTGAGCCGAAGTCGGATGCTTAACTGAGCTACCCAGGCACCCCAATTTTTTAAAAAAAGTTTATTTATTTATTTTGAGAGAGAGAGAGAGAGACAGAAAACAAGTGGGGGAGGGGCAGAGAGAGAGAGAGAGAGAGAAGAAGAGACCCAAGCAGGCTCTGTTCTGTTAGCCCAGAGCCACCACGGGGCTTGATCTCATGAACTGCAAAATCATAGTCAGATGGTGGATTCTTGAAGCTAGAGACCACCCAGGCCAACCCTGCTGGAGGCAAGAGAAATTTGTTGGGGAGCTGCTGAGAAACCTTTCCTTTGTTATAAAAGGGTATGTTTTTGTTTTTGAGAGAGAGAGAGAAAGAAAGAGTGAGTGGGGGAAAGGGACAGAGGAAGAAGGATAGAGAATCAAGCTCCACACTCAGCACAGTACCTGGCATGGGGCTTGATCCCACGACCCTGGGATCATGACCTGGTAATCAAGAAGTTAGGCCTCAACGGCCGTGTTTATTTTTAAAAATGGATGTCCTTTTTACACATTTCTCTTTCTTCATTTGAGATGGTGATATAAAGATGGGATGCTTTGTGCTACAGCAGCCACCTTGGGCCATGAGGTTTGAGAAGTATGAAGACAAAAACCGTACACTGTGACCATGGGAGGGAGGAAGGATGGAAAGAGTTTGTGTTCCTGAAATGGGATACTTTATGCCTTTTTATTCGGTGAGGCTAAAACTGTACTGTGTAAACCACAGCTGGGACTTGAGTTGCTAACTTCTGAATGCATCCTGGGCAAAACACACCCCAAACCCTGCAGCCTATTCTGTACTCAACAGACAGAGGGATTCTTTCAGAACAGGAGTCACGATGGTGTCTCTCCTCAGAACTCTTCTCTGATGTCCCATCACACTTGGAACAGAAGCTGGAGCCCATATCTCCATCAGCACAGCTCCAAGATTGCCACCCTGGGCCTCTGTGCTCTGTCCTCACCTCACTTGGCACATCTCACTTCTCTACGACATTCAGGTCCATGCGAGGATGATTTCCTGACAGGTCAACCCTGACTCGATGGTAGAAAAGCCTCTTCCACTGTCACTTGCCATCTTGTTTCCTTGTTCAGTTCTCATGAACTGAACACTGCCCCCGGGTGCTGCATGTGCATGAACTGGTGAAGGGGACAGTGTCCAACATTTGCTTTATCCCCTCTGTCACTCACCAGGAGTGAGGCTTCTTAGCCGAATGAACCAATTGTGTGTGAATGCAGTAGAGCAGTGTCTGGCACAAAGTAAGCGTTTGCCACTCCTTGGGTAAGAATGTCCGCTCCAGGAAGGCAGAGCTGAGATTCCAGCGCCTGGCGTCTAGCAGGTGTGTTTCGGAGCCGCTGATGGATGGATGCGTGGAGGGCACACAGCAGGCTCTCTTCAGTTTTTATTGAGTGGACGGTGGAACAAAGGATCTCTGAACTGAGATTTCGGAACTGATTCAATTCGTGTTGACAGGAAGGCCTGGGATATGCTTGA